GGAGAGACCCTCCAAGCTCCCGGTACCTCAGGCGGCAATGGCCGCCGTGCTGGCTCAGTCGCCCTGCCGCTGCTCCGCTCGCTGCTGCGCTCCTGCTTCAGCCCCTGCGCTAAGTTTAGCGCATCAAACAGTACGCTAGTACTGACCATGCCGTGCCGGTAGAGTTCCGGTAGGCCGATCCCTCAACTGAGGCAGATACCGGTACTTATACCGGTAGGCAATGGTCTGGCCTCAATGCTGCGAGGCCAGGCCAGACCCTGGACCGTCCAGATGGACGGTTCAGCCTCAATCGGCGGGCGGCAGCTTCAAGAGCGCCGCCAGGCCCAAACGAAGTGTCGTTTGGGCCTACCCGATGGGTGCTGGTCCAAAATCAGGCCTTTAGGCCTGTAACCCAAAAGGTCGGGCCTTTAGGCCCTGGTGTGTCCCTCCGGCCCTAAGTCGGGTCCGGTAGGACCCGTGTGAGTCGAAGATGTAACAGACCGGCACCAGGTAGTTCAGAAATATTTAAACTTATTTAAACTTTAAAGTTATTATACATTTGATTCCATCAAGATTCGAACTCAGGTCAGTTTATCAACAGTTGACAAGTGTACCATCCAGTCACAGGTTGATGAGTGTACCGTCCAGTCACAGGTTTTAGTTGAACTTAAAGCACCAGTACAACACACATCAGCCCGCAGGTGTCAGCACGAAACCCGCACCACTTCGGAGGCCACTGATTTTTTTTTTCAATGGCGCCCCACACCGCGCGGCCCCTCTGAGTTTTGCTTGTGGCGACAAAAACTTTCTGCAAGGCCGGGGCCGTGTACTTGCGGTTTAATTCTAATGTGACGGCATATTGCAAGAACCTGGTAGTCGTCATCTGTTTGAATTCCTGTGGAACTTCTAACAAGCGAGTCAAAAGCGACCAAATAACACCAGATTATGCTGAGCGTCCAATAGTTAATCCTAGTAATCGGCTAAACTTACAAGGATGGGCAAGCAAGTAGCCACTGAGTCTAGGGTGCTATAGAATAGTTAAACCACCACTACCTTTCTCAGTGTTGGGAAAAATGGGGATATACGTCACACGGCATTTTTTGGGGGTCTGGGCGAGAGGGTCAGCTAAAAGAAAGTGTTTGGGCCTTGTGGGCCCACTTGCAAAGAGGGAAAAAAAAAAAAAAGGAAGTGAAAGTAACGGAAGGAAGGACGTAGGGGAAGGCAGTGATCAAGGTGTGCTCACAGTAGTGCTGCAACGAACGAACCTAACAGTCCTGTACGACTACTTTCAAGTTTCAACTTTTGTTTTTTTCATTTTTTTTCTGCTTTTGTTTTGTTTTGGTCCCCCTGCCAGCAAGGCAGGGCGCTTTGCACGGACTGCTGACACTTTTTCACAGACGGCACCATCTCACCTGAAGTCCAGATCCTGTATCTAGCCTTGAAAAAACATCCAAAATGAAGTTGCTTTTTTTTTTCCGCGGAAGTAGCTGCCCTGATGACCGCACTGCGCCGCTGTAACTGCCTCGAGGAGGGCACGCTCTCACATGAGCTCCAAGCTCTGTATCGAACTGCTTTTGCGTCTATAGCATTGCTGCCTTTTTTTTTTTTAATGGTTTTTGAAAGTGTCGTGATCTCCGCGGTGCTATAAGGCCCTCACTGAGGGCATAGTCTCACAAGCACCCCATATTCACTATCCAACTGCTTTCACGTACATATCCTTGCTGCCCCTTTTTTTTACTTTTTCTTTTTTTCAGCTGTTTTTTTCGTTGTTCATCTCGGACGAGTACCAGAAAAAAAAATACAATGGGACCCAGGCTCGGCAAAACTCGGTGCGCAGTCAAATTCAGGGTCGGCAAAAACAGGCTCGGGGTAAGTGGTGGTTTAAGGTCCACAAGGCCCTGGGCACAGTCTCTGTACCAGGTCAATAGACTAGACAAAATACCCAGGCCTGTCTGGATCTCATCAGGATGAAGGAGCTGCTTTTCCTCTTTGTCAGACACAGCAAAGGAGTCATTCGAGCAAACTCTCACTAGGACTTTCTCGACTGGCTTGTCGATGTCATCACGGTCAGATACATCCATGATGGGCCATAATTGCAGTCAGATACATCCAGAAATCTCTAGTGTATGTCCTAACTTGACTCTCACAGCCATCCACGAAACCCCTAGTGTGAGTATGTTCTAGCTTTGCTCTCACAGCCTAAAGCCATTTGCGTGCTCCCTGTCAGATCACTTAATGGTTACGATCTGGACTCTGGAGATCCTGACAGCTATCAACACAATTCGGTGTCCGGTGTCTGCATACAAGATGTCCAGAGGCATGTTTGGAGCGTGAGCCTTTTTTTTTTTTTTTTTTTAATGTGTTCAGATTCATCAGAACTTCAGAGCTAGGTTACCAGAGTTCCCCGGCTGGGTGACGCGGGTGAACCTGCCCCAGGGGGCACCCGTTCAGGGTACCCAGGCAACACCAAAAGGCAGGTCTTAATTTTTTTGGCAGTGGGCTGAGCGGGCCGATTTTGCGCCCACTGAGATGTGCTCAAATCCGGCCTTACCTTTGAATGTGATGATGTCTCACCAAAGTGCGTCTATGGGGTATAAGCAGGGTGCACAGGGGCTTAAGGGGGCTCTAATGGGCTTAAAGGGGTGTGATATAATTTATTTTTTTGTTTTTATTTTTTATTTCAAATTTCACTACGAATTTGTCGTTGACCCTCAGCCCAAAGTTGTTTGATTTGCCGTTCTGAGTAACACAGTTTTTTTTTTTTTTTTTTTTTCCTGTGTTCAGTGGTGCACAACCCGACCGTCGGCGACCCTTGACTGGTCGGCACCTACTGGTCGGGGGTGGTCGGCACCCCGCAAAAAAAAAAAAAAATAATAAAAAAAAATTGGGCCCAGAACCCCTGATAACCCCACTAACCCCCCCATACCAACCCCAAATACCCCCATACACCCCCCTCATACCCACAAACCGCCCCCCGACACCCTCATACCTCCCCCCCCAGTACCCCCTATACCACCCCTATACCCCCTATATCCCCTATACACCCCTCCCCCAAACCCCCATCCCCAAAAGCTTCTCAGCGGATTTGGGCTGTACTCAGCAAGCGCAGTACAGCTTCCAACTCTGATCTGAAAAAAAATTAGTGAATGGTTGTTTTCTGACTGGTCGGCCCTACTGATCGGCTGCAATACGGTCGGCAGTCGAGGTCGGCGGTCGGCAGGGATGCAACGATGCCTGTGTTTCAGTAGTTCAGTGGTGTACCAACTGAGCTAGAGAAGAAGAAGAAGAAGAAGAAGAAGAAGAAGAAGAAGAAGAAGAAGAAGAAGAAGAAGAAAAAGAGAAGACGGCGGGCTCGAAATGGGGGCAACGAAGAAGAAGAAGAAGAAGAAGACGGTTGGTGGAGGATGCGAAGAGGACGAAGAAGAAGCGAAGTAATAAGAAGAAGATGCGAAGAGGAAGAAGAAGACGCCACGACGACGACGAAGAAGAAGAAGAAGAAGATCTCTCTCTCTCTCTGTCTCTCTCTCTCTCTCTCTCTCTCTCTCTCTCTCTCTCTCTCTCTCTCTCTCTCTCTCTCTCTCT